TACTGTAGAAACTTAAAACTAAAAACTCGAATCGGTGAAGTGAACGAGGTCTTAATAACTTTCACCAAGAAACGCATACCGTAAATGAGATGACAAAGGTTTCAGCTCAAGCTGCGGTGGTTGGTCAACAGAAGGTAGCTGACTTGTAGGTGCCGGATGTATCGAAGCTATTAAAACTTTCTCAGTGATTGGTTCTTTTTCAGATGCTGACATAGTACTGATGAAATCATCACGAGTCTCCATATTAATGCATTCTTCAATCAAGTCCGACAAGCTACTAATGTCTTCAGCTTCTTGTATCGCCTGCTCAATAGTATCAAGCCGCATGCAGTAGTCAGTCTCTGATGGGTAATTTATCGCCTTGAAGACATTGAAAACTACTTTCTCATCTTTGAACCTCAAAACAAGTTCCCTTTTCTGCACATCAATTAAGGTTCTACCAGTAGCGAGGAATGGTCGACGAACTATAATTGGAATTTCTTCATCTTCATCCATATCTAGAACAATGAAATCCACCGGAAAGATGAATTTATCCACTTTCACTAGAACATCCTCAATAATCCCTTGTGGCCCTTTGATCGACCTGTCAGCAAATTAAAGTGACACAGTAGTAATTGGCTCACATCCGTCACTCTTAGTTTCCTATAAATAGAGAAAGGCATTGAATTAACACTGGCACCAAGATCACACAGAGCTTGATCAAAATAAGCATTAGCAATAGTGCAAGGTATAGTGAAACTCCCTGAATCTTTGGCCTTTTGCGGAAGCTTTTTCTGTAAAATGGCACTGCATTCTTCTGTCAGCTTCACTATCTCAAAATCTGCCAATCTCCTCTTCTTTGTTAAACTCTCCTTCATAAAGTTAGCGTAACTGGGCATTTGTTCTAATGCGTCCGTGAATGGGATGTTGATTTGAAGCTTCTTGAAAACATCCAGGAACTTTGAAAATTGTTTGTCCAGTTTCTGCTTCAGAAATCTCCAAGGAAATGGGAGCAGAGGAGTGTATAGTGGAGGATTGTTCATAAACAATTTAGTTGCGGGTTTTTTGGCCCCCTGTTCAGTCTCTTTTTCTAGAACTTCTGAAATCTCCACATCAGCTTCTTTCTTACCATATGTCTCTTCTTCTCTCTTTCTTGCCGGCTCCTTTAATTCTTTTCCACTTCTGAGGGTAATTGCCTTGCATTGCTCTTTGGGGTTTGTCTCAGTGGAACTTGGAAAATTACCTTGTGGATGAGAATTCACCTCATTGGCCAATTGGCCTATTTGTACCTCCATGTTTCTTTGTGACGCAACAAGGTTCTGAGTTAGTTGAACCAGAGTTTGAATTGTGGCATCGTTCTTGGTCATGTACTGGGATAACAACTCGTCAGTAGAGGGCTTGCTCTCAGCTTACGGATGAAAACCAGGTGGTGGCAGAGTAGGCTGTAGTGTTTGAAGAGGTTACGGCTGCAAGACATTTTGATTATTTCTGCAGGAGAAGTTCGGATGATTGCGCAAACCTGGATGGTATGTGTTGGGCATAAAGTTGTTATTGTTCCTGTATTGCGGTCGAGGATTGCCCACATACTGCATTTGCTCAATTGTCGGATTCCCGATCGTGTACTCCATGCTAGAATGGCCATCTCCACAGAATTCACAAGTAACTGTCGGAGTAGCAATTACATTCACGTTCATTTGACCAATTTGTCGTGAAAGAGCCGCTACTTGAGCGGTCAAAGCAGTTAATTGATCGACTTCATGTACCCCAACAGGTTTCCTGGCTAGCGCT